GTCTTCTGGGCTTTGACCAGAAGCTCCTATCAAGCTTGGCATACAGAATTCCAGGGTTTCTCTAGCTCACATCTCCAAACCTTTTGAAATTCCCCTCATGAACCTTTTCCAAACACTTCTAAACCACGTGGTCAGGTACAGTCACAAATATAGAGATCCCAATTTTCTGGTACCTAGCCATGTCCTCATTACTAAGAAATAATAACTGACATCCACAACTTGAAGGATGAGAGGTTTATTTTGGTCCACATTTTAGTGAAGAGTTAGCTGGCTCTAAGACAGGACATCAATAGGAAGGAAGCACAGATAAAAGGGAAGAGACAAGAGGGAGACTTGCCTTCCCAGGTCACTCCCCCAGTAAGCTACCTCATCTAACCAGAAACCACCTTCTAAAAGCAAGTCAGCTATATTATTCCTATGAATCAATCAACTTTCATATCCCTATCTCAGAGTGCATAAGGCTTTGGGGTGAGGGGATCTTCTAGATCCAAACAACGATAAGCAAACAAAACAACAAAGAACTATACCTGGATGTGTAGCTTCAAATATAGAAATTCAAAGATAAAGGAAAATCCTGAAAGAAACCAGAGGAGGAGAAAAACATTACCTATAGAGATACAAAGATAAAAATAAAAATTTTATCCAAATTCTACTCAGAAACTATTCAAGGATGAAGAGAAAGGAGTGAAACACTTAATGTGTTAAAAGGGAAAAGAAAAACAATGACATAGATTTCTGTAACCTGTGAAGGGATCCTTCAAAACTAAAGGAAAATTTAGTTTTTCTCAGGAAAATAAGAATTGAGGAAAAAAATCTGTTGTAAATAGATTTGCCTTGTGAAAAAATATTTTAAAGAAGTTTGTTAGAGAGAAGGAAAATTATAATGGTCAGACACTCATATCTATATACAGAAATGAAAAGCATTGAAAGTAAAGAAAGGTAAACACTTTTACTTGTTTATTCGTAGATGGGCTATCATCCAAGAAATTTTGCTCAAAGTAATAAGAGATACAATGTATTTGTTTATGTATGCTTTTTAATTATCTTATATATAAGTAGGCTTATATATTCTTATATGTAAGTGAAATTAATGACCTCAATAATATAAGGGATGAAAATGAAAAATTACAATTATTGTGTTATTATAAAGTATTAACACTACTTGTGAAGCAGTATGGTGTTATTTGACCATGGACTTGAATTATTAGTTGTCATTATATATTGCAAGCTCTAGGGCAATGACTTAAAGAGATGCAAAAAGAAAAAAGTTCGATAACAGGTTTGATAAAAAGGAAAGAATAGAAAACCATATAAAATGCTCAATTAAAGTCATAAAAAGTAAAAGTGAATGGAAGATAAATATAAGAAACAAAGAATAGGACCAATGACTACACAACAGTAATAACTCTGTTATATATTAATCCAATTATATCAACAATAATTTTGAATATCAATGGTCTAGGTATACCAATTAAAAGAGGATGTTAGAATGGATCATAAAACAAGGCCAAAGCAGATGTTTTGTACAAGGAACCAACTTGAAATATTAAGACAAGTTTAAGATAAAGAATGTGAGTAAGGAAACATACCATGCTAGCACAAGTCCAAAGAAAGCAAGAGCAAGGAAGTTAATTTCAGACAAAGCAAACTTGAAAGTAATCAATGTTACCAGAGACAAAGAAGGGCATTATATAATAATAAGGAAATCAACTTTCAATAAACCCATAACGACCTTTAACATTATGCACCTAACAACAGATTATCAAACTATACATGGTAAAAACTGTAAGGACTGTAAGAAAACTAAGGACAGTAAAGAAATATAGATGAATTCACTATAGATATGGGATGTTATAATAATAGGATGTTGGATACTCCAATATTTTATTATCATAAATAGATTCAGCCAAGCAGAATTGGTAGAGCACTGGTAGAATTTATTAATTCCTATTGATAGCTACAGACAATACGCACCTCATCTATAGATTGCTGCTTCAGCAAAAGCAGAATACACATGTTTTACAAGATCAACATATTTTCAACAAATCATGCTGGCACAACTGGACATCCATGCTGAAATAAAGGGGGCGCATAGTCTTTTCACAAAACTTTCAATCATCGCTACAATTATGTAACATTCAAAACTATGACACTCCTGGAAGATGACACAGAAAAAAACCTAGGTGACCTTACATCTGATGATGACTTTTCAGATAAAACCCCAAAGACATGATCCATGATAAACTGGAGTTGATAAACTAGAGTCATTAAATATTTTACTGGGTGAAAAACAATGTCAAGGGAATGAAAAGACAAGCCACAGACTAGGAGAAAATATTTGAAAAAGATATGTCTGATAAAAGATGGTTATCTAAAGTACAAAAAATAACTTTTAAAACTCAACAATAAGATAACATGCTGACAGTGCTCGGCAAGGATGAAAGACCAGGAACTCTTAGTCAGTGCTGGTTGGAATGGTACAGACATCCTTAGACTATGGGAACTAAAATAAGCAAAGGACAATGACCGCACCGTAAAAACGTGCACATACCTGTTTATTGCCAAAACTTTAAACAATCAAGATGTCCTTCCATAAGTGGGTGGATAAATGGACTGTGTTTAATGCAGACAATGGAATATTACTCATTGCTAAAAAGAAACGAGCTGTCAAATCATGAAAACATATGGAGAAACTTTAAATTGATATTTCTGTTGAAAGAAGTCAATCTCAACAGAGTAGGTGCTATATAGTTCCAACTACGTGACATTTCAGAAAAAGGTAATGTATGAAAATATTTTAAAAATCAATGCTGCCAGAGATTAGTGTTAGTAAGAATACAAAGATAGGGCAGAGGGCTGGGGATTTAGCTCATTGGCATTGTGCCTGTCACAAGTGCAAGGTCCTGAGTTTGATCCCTGATACCAAAAAATAAGAAAGAACAGAGAATTTCTAAAGGAATGAATATACTCAGTTTATGATTCCACTGGTGACATGTCGTTAAACCTTTGTCAAACAAAATCCATAGAATATAAAGAACCAAGAGTGAACTGTAATGTGCATGATGGACTCTGGGTGATATGCCTCAATGTAGGTTCATCAACTGTAATAAATACATCAGTGTGAGGAAGAATATGCATGATAAGGGAGATTATGCATGTATTATACAAGAGATAGATGGAAAATACGCGTACCTTCCTTAGAACATTGCTATGCAGCTAAAACTGCTCTAAACTAACCCAGTCTCATTCTTAAAAAAAATACCTTTGAAGATTCCCATCCTCCTGGTTTGGTGGAACAGATCCTATCTCCAACATATGACAGGACAGTGGACATGTTACACAAGTTGCTCCAGTCCAAGAGCTTTGCTGGGAATAAGGGCCAAACTCCATCTGATCCACCTTATTGTCAGATGTAAGTCATCAGCTTCCCCCTAGTTGGGCCTAAGGAGAAACTGTCCTGGGACAAAAACTAAAATTCAAAAAAAAGACTCTCACAACTACTGAAAGGCTTGAAGTCCTTAGGTCCAGCTGTTCCTGAGTGAAGTTTCAACCCAGTCATTTATATGAGCCAATAAATTTCACCTTTTCTTTCAGATTAATTTGAGTTTGTCACTTGGAGGGCTTTGATCAGTTGATGACAAGCTCCCTAAGGAAGCCATCTCTTACTGTTTTTTCACAGCACATTGCACCTAGCACAGGGTGCTGCAAGAATACAAATTCAACCTAACAGTTTCAAAGATGTTCTAAATTTCCATTAAAGTTCCATAATATTATATAAGATGCTACAAGTATTGATGAAATTATTACATGTAAAAATTGCTAGCAAGTTCAGAGTCTCAGGAATAACTATACTTTTATCACATCTCTCATTTTTAGGAACAATAAAGATATTTAACCATGTTACAAACATATTCCTTACTAACTGACCATGGCCTCTATTACATTTATATCCTTGTTAATTGCACCAGTGATCACATAACATGTGTGTGTGTGTGTTTGTGTGTGGTATGCATGAGCATGTGTGTGTTGCTTTAACCAACTTCCAGGAAAGTTTCTCTATTTCACTTATAAAACCTGGGATGTAAATCTAACAAAGTAGAAGTTTACTCCACAGTCTCTTAAAGAGGCACCTTTCCATGAATTCTGTGTGACTTGTTCATAAACATGGAAAGTATGTGAAGGGTTTCTTTTAACTTGTCTTGATTTCCTTGAAGACTCTGGCACACAACATAAGATTAAAATAATCTGGCATTCTTGCTACTTTGCCCATGAATACCAAGGAATAAATATTAGAATGATGAATTCTCTTTCCCTTGTCAACCACAAATGTGTTCCAGCTCAAGGCAAGGTCTAGAAAGTCATTTAAAAATAAATAAATAGAACCAAAGAGTAACTCTATTCTTTTATTCAAAGTTTATTAAAATACAAGAACAAATTGTAAAAGCACACATACCACTCAGCACCAAGATAATAACACTCTTTTTACCGATAATCTCCAAAGCATTGCATTTTTCTGCAACTGTAAAGCAGAGATACGCACACATACATTCTCACCACATTTACCCAGCACCCAGCAATAAGTCCCGAATATACTCCTTGCTGGGAGGACAGAGATGGGGAGAGGCAAACTAATGTGACCACATCCAACCACTAACTGAGTCGGTGACTCTTTCGTTAGTAGTTATCATTCGCACACTGGTAAACTCTGCACGTCTCTGTCTCCCTCTTCGGGGCGCCGATTACTTGGGCTAGTGAGTCCGTGATAATGTGATGCAAAACTAAACAAAACTGGCCAACACTCCCTATCCAATATCTCTTCATTGCTTTGGTTATAAAATTCTGGATACTTAAGTCTTCACACACATCCCCCATGGTAGCACAGATAAAAACCACACTGACCTGTTGAGTGACACAGTCTGGAGAACTCTTAAGAGAATCTTGTTTTAAATCTCCCATCCACTTTCTGTGGACTTCTTTCATTTACGTGCTTACCTGTTTGCTTTCTTTTTTTTTTTTCTTCAAGGTGAAGGGAGGGAGGATAGATAGTTTGAGCCAAAATAGTGACTTCATTAAACATCTGCTGGGTCTCCGAAGTTTCAGTAAATATTAAATAAACTCCCTGGAGCTCTGGTGCCGCTGCCCAAGACAGGCAGCCAGCTCTGACTTGCAGGAGCAGTCCTGTTTGGATATCTGTACATGTTTGCTCTCTGTTGGGTCAGACTCACCTGGGAACAGAGATGGGTCTGTAAGGTCTGAGACCTTGTTTCTCGTGCTATCTGGAACATAGAACACGAGGAACTGGCCCAATTTTTTGCTCATCCTCAAATCACTCAGGGACACTCAGCAGTCTTCTTCCAACCATAAGAAATTTGTGTTCAAATCTTTCCAAATCAGTAGACCAAGATCTCTGGGGCTAGTTTTTCCTTCTGGGCAACTTCCCAGGTCATGCAGCCTCAGTCACTTCCATTCATAATAGGTCTCAAAAAAGACCAAGAGGGTGCCACTGCCACACAGAAATTTATACTTATGTTTCCTTCTTCAAGTAGGCATAAAAGTGGATCTCACTTCTATTTTTAAGCCAAAGGCACAATATTAGACTATAATTATACCTTAGTTCTAATTTCTGGTAATATCATATTTTAAAGCCTCTTGAAATTAAAAGACTCATTGTGGATCTTCCCTGCTCAGAGACATGACATTGAGCATGTTCTGAAAAGCTCTAAAGGCTAGTAAAGGTTTTCATCAATCCTTTACTGGTCAGGAGTCAGTGTCTACATATTACCCTTTTCAATGGCAAAGGACTCTAATTAAACTTATTTTCCAAACCATCAGTCAGAAGTCAGGTGGAATAAATTTCCAGGTTCATCCCTTAATGATTCGCATAATGAGAAGCTCTCTAAAATTAGTAAATTTCTCTTGCTGTGGAGATAGCTTATTGTCTATACCAAGGGCACCTTGTACCCATCTAAGAGTTTTTTCCAAAGTCATAAATGTTGTCTTTACCAGTCCCTCTGGGATTTTATGCACCAAGGCAGCCCCCATTCATGATTTCCCCATACTTAATAATTTTTTTCAAGAATCCAAATAGTGACATTTATCTTGACAAAAAATGAAAGACTGTGTAGGCTTTTCTTTCCTCCTTAACCAGTGACTAAGCATCGCTTGGTTAACAAGGCAAGAATTTAACTAAATCAAGACACCACTCAGAAGTTGATATTACCACAAATCAGTAGATCATTTTAAAAATGAGGTGAAGACGCAGACCCAAAGACTCAAATTGTGAATAAAGAAAATCATAGGAAATGGCTGCCACTTCAGCTATACAAAGCAAGACAAGTGACCAGCTTGGCTCTGTGGAGGCCTGTCACACATTAATAGCTGTGTGAAACTCTCCTACATCACTGTTTCTGCGTTTCAGTCATGCTCATTCAAGAAAGTCATTGTAAATCCCACTGATACTTTCTGTAAGCAATAAAATAAAGCAAGTTTTCAGTAGTTCCAAGCCATCTTTCAAACACTAAATGTTTGAGGGAATCTAGATACTAGGATAATATCTAAAATTTCTTAGAAACTAATTCAATATTAGACAAGCAAATTCAGCTTAGAGGGCTAAACTGATAGTTTCATATGAACACAGCCTATGGTGGGAAATGTTTAGGTGCTAAGAAAAAGAACTCAGAGTTTTATATAAGTTTTTCCCTTGTGAGAATTAGAACTGTAATTTTTCAAGGGAATGTACCTTATAGAAGACATGATAATTGTGTGGGTATTGAAAATATAATAATTTCTCTTATCATACCAGCTAAGCAATGATTTTCTTCTATCTGAAATAATGAGCTCTTGTTAATTTTATAAAAGGTACATCGTAGCAAACCATAAAAGTTTATGTTGAAACAAATAGGTTACATAATTACAGGCTTATCATATTCCTGATAAGATCAATCCAATCTACATATTGTAGATTTCCTGAGCTTTTACAATCTACTTTCTCCATATTCACTTCCACAGTCTTCTTCCAGAACTTGTTCCGTGTTCTACTGAACATGTCTTTTCCCCCAACAGTCAGCCTATGTCTTTGAATGTTTACTTCCTCTACCTCGTACCACTGGACTGTCCTCCAGGAGAACTGCCTGTGTGCACACACACACACACACACACACCCTTCTGCTTCTTTAAAAATACAGCACAACTGGGTGATTTTTTCCATCACACTTTTCCCCAGACAGCTAACATTGCATTGGCCAAATCTCATCCCCCCACCGGCTTCTCTGACATCCTGTTCCATTATCACATGTGTAGAATAAAGGGGAAGTTTAAGGACAATGATGTGGGTGTGCTATAACTAATTTTTCATTTTGCTTCTGTGGAGTGCTACATAAATCTCAATAGCACTTTGAAGATAAAAATAAAGGGGGGCCACTCATAAGCCTTGACTATAGAGTTTAACAGTCAAAGAATCTGAAATAATCTATTCTCAATATGCTGTTATAATAATTCATTAGATAACATCGCACTTTTGAAATTTGCTTTGTTTCTTTGTGGTTTTTTTTTTTTTTCCTAAATAGAACTTTAAAAATTGGAAAGCTTAGGCATTACTGTAAAAAAAAAGTCCCAATGGAGCTTTAATACTACACAGCATACCAGCTAGTGATATGACTGGTTAGTTACTCCATTAAAAAAAAAAAAAAGTACTTTTGATTCCTGCATACTCAGTTCTCACTTTTCTCATTTTAGCCAACTAACTTACTCTCACCTTGAAATTATCTTTTTTATTATTAGTTTTATGATTCAGTTATTAATGGAGTAGATATAAGAACCTCTGATTCTACCAGTCATATACTGTGATTTGATAGTATGCTCAGTTTTTACAAATTGTGATACATGATTGGTTAGTCTATTCTTCTGAGGTTATGACCTTTAGGTATTACTTACTGATAAAATTATATTGCTTTTATTTGAAAGAGAAACATGTATATGTGTATATGCATACATACATAATTATAATAACAATATTGGGGCCTTGGATTATTAAAACTCAGCTAGTGAGATTAAAGAAAGACTCAATTCTGAATTTGAACATCAATGGAAATTCCATTTTACCAAATTCCCTTATACTAATGACAGCTTTATATTAAGCCTACACAATTATTATGGGAATAACTCAAAATAGCTCTTCTTCTATTTTTCAAATAAAGGAAGTGTGTGTGTTTGCACCCATCATCTGTTATAGTCTATCAACATTAGGTGTAGGAAGGAAAACAGCTGAGCAGCTGAGTGGTCAAGGAACCTCCCTCCAACTTCAGCTCAGCAGTCACGAGATAACACTGCCATAGAAACAGACTTTGAATGAGTGACCCATATCATAACTATAACTGGGGAGGAACAGACCAGCACAAGTCACTGGCTTGTCTTTTAGTAATTATTATGGGATAAAAGTCACCCACTAAAAGTGTATGCACCACATACATGTTTCATAAAGTAATTATTTCCAAAAATCTCACTAGTGCAAATATTTATGTGTAGCTTTCTTTTTCCCATCAATCCCTCTTTCCTCAGTCCAGGAATATATGACACTTAGTTTTTATACACATTTTTTATGCTAGGTTTAGTTAAGCTTTTTCTTTCTCTAGCTTTGTACATATTCCTATGTTTCTGTGGTGAGCAAATTAGTCTCTTTCTACAGTTTCAAGGTGAAACACCATGAAGTTTCCTAATCTTTCTGCATCCTCTTTTCTAGCTTGTCAATTTGATTTTCCTCTAGTACTTTCTCCATCTGCCTAGAAAGTAAGTAACCATCAGATCTGAGACAACTATTCTAATCTTCAGGTAGGGGTATCATTCTTGGTATCTACAAATACACCTGTGAATTCTGAGCTGTGTACATTGGTGCAGAGCACTGTATGGCTAGAACTATCCCAACACATTACACTCCAAAGTCCTAACCACATAGCTTGGGTTCAAGGATTCATTATAAGTAAGGGTTTGGGAATTTTCCAGTTGGTTTTATCCATGATGATTAAAGCCTAGGCAATGTGCTTTATCTTAATACAGACAGCAGTTTCTCTAACACAATTATTATTCAGGTAACTGTTTCTTCTGGTCCCAAAGCAAGCATCACTCATTTCTCAAGGAATAATTAACACATACTGCATCAGGGTTTCTTCATCTCCAGGCTGGATCTTCTCACTTAAGAAGAGTTGTGACGGAGTTACTACGTAACCCAGTGCCTTTCAGATGTTAGAGGTTTATGTTCTTCTGAGAAGTAAATTCCTGTCTTACAGTGTGGCAATGGGACTCAATGGAAATAGTGGATTCTGTTCTTAATTTCCTTTCCTTTACACAATGTTTTTTTTAAATAATAACTCTATTGCAATCATACCTTTAACCAACTAATCTAGATTTCATCTCTTGCTGAAATTCTTTTCCAGCCAATGCCGGACTTCTTGAAGGTTGTAGCAAAAAGGGCCCTTTCCTCCTAGATAAGCAATCTTCTGTCTCTGCACAATGCACACTCGTTCAAAGGCTACCCCATAAGCTACATTGGCATTATTGTCCATGCAGTCAGCCACAACCTGGCACTGGGGCGGCAAGGAGAAACGCTCCAGAAGCTGATGGGCTGCTGCACATCGATCTTCCTGGTTCCGGTGCTTCTTCACCTCCAAAGACAAAGAGGATCCCCCAGGAACTGCCCAACCATCTGAAGGATGAGCCTCGTCGATGTAGACCAACAAGAAGTCAGCCACTGATGAGAACTCTTCCACCAGTTTGCTGAAGGCAGGCAGCTGGCTGGTAAAGGGCGGTCAAGTGGCGGAGCCAAAATTGACCACCAGTGGGCGCTCGGCACTGGCGAAGTCAAGAAGGTGGCACAGGACTCCATCAGCAGTCTTCTCCCGGACACCGTTTCCACAGCTGTGACCTCCTTCAGGACTGGACACACACACCACACTGGAATTGGGGGCATCTTCGCCCAGTTTCACCTGAAGATGGAAAAAGATAACAAAGAAAGAGAGGGAATACTACATTAAACACGCTGCTGCTTCAGTTCACTAGAAACGTAGCGTTGGCTGATAAAAGATGGTATTTCCTTCAGAGAGCACAAAGATGTCGTGTAAAGAATGGTTAAATGAGACTAAACGTTTTTATCCTGTGTATTCATGGAAGGAAATTATTTTCATCACTGAAGCACTGGCAGCAACTCTTCACATGATCATGTTGAGGCAGATATTCTTTACTATCCATAGTTTGCCATCAGTGCTTAACGTGCATTATGTAATGAATATTGACTTCGTTTTAAAAGTCAGAAGCAAATGATTAACTTTACGACAAACTATCAAGGTCTAGGACATACTGCCTCTTTTTCAATTCTAAATATGCATGCAGGACCTGATTTTTCATGCATGCTGATAAGTTATTTAACCTCAAGTATTGGACAGTGCTAAGTGGGCTCCCTTCTGGCCAGAGCTAGAAACCTGGAATCCACTATTTACAAGGGCTACCCCCATTTAACCCTGCCAATGCTTTCTCATCTGTAAGGTGGAGGTAATGGGACCGGTCTGTTTATACTGTATGGGGGTGGGAGAGTGACAGAAAGAAAGGGGCTCTTTAAATCGCAGCATGGACCTGTCCTGTGTTGTTGTTTTCAGACACCCTCACCTCACCCCATGGAACAGAACTTACTTTTCCCTGGGGAATTCTGTGTTTAAAATACAATAATGAATTTTCCTAAGAGGAGATCTGGGCCCCTCTCCGTGTGCCACCTTTCCTGGGGGTTTCCACCACTATTGCTTACATTATGGTTCTGATGACTAGAGCCTCACAATTTCTATTAGCAAATGCAAAAGCATATTTCTATTAACAAATAAAAAAAATATATATATAATTATTCCAAAACCCTACTTTTAGTCATTTTCTTATTTTCCATGTGTTTTTGTTTATTTTCTCTCTTTTACCTAGGAAGTCTCAAACCACCTACTTCTTTACCATACAGTTTATTAGTGGGTGCCTCTAAATGATAAAATATTTGAGCACAAGAGCTACAGGAATTCTCTATGTGCCCCTTTGAACATGCTTTAAACAGTTGAGCACAGAATAATGAAGGAAATTTTGTGGCCTTTGTATCTATAAATTGATAATAAAACGCAGGCAACATAAAAGAACCAATTACTTCAGTCTGAATTAACACAATTGAATCTTCCCCTAGAATGGTTTAATCAAAGCCAATAACATTAGGGACAGCTTACCACAGTACAATTGATTTTTATACACTACTCTTAATATTACAAAACAATTTCAGTGGGACCAGATTATTTCATTCATATAATACATGCACATATAACACTGCTATTAATTGAAGTCCCTTAGAAGTAAATTATTGAAGATGGAACAACCCAAGTAGATATAAAACACTCAGGGTCTTTCATTCAGAAGTTTCTAACTAATGTTACTCTATAATGAATTTTAACTGTAGAGAAAGAATTAAAATTCTTTCTATTCCTTCTGAAAAATCGTAGCAGGGTAGGTTTGAAACAAGAGCTATTAGTTTTCTAAAAAAGAATCTTAATATAATCTCTCTTCAAAAAGAAAACTGTTGATGTTATTTGGTTTCAGTCACTACCAGGGAGAAATTTTAATTGTCTTGGCCAACTTGCAAGTGACACTAAGTGAAGAAATCTATTAAGCCCCTTTTTCTTTTTTCTTTTTTGCAGTACCAGGGATCGAACTCCAGACCTTGCACTTGTGAGGCGGGTGGAAGCACTGAGCTAAATCCTGGTCCTAGCCACTTTTAACTGGATTATTTCATGTGAGCTATACTGCTCTTTGAAGTTCTCAAATATAGCTCACACTTAAACATATGGATTTTAAAGGCACAAACCTTCTAATCTATGGCTTCTTTCAACACTTCTTTGCAGCTCTTTATGAACAGAATTCCCAGCACCTTCTACACCTTTTCCACTGAAGACAATGATGATTCTAGAAGACCTCCTTTTAACAATATTATGTGTGCTGTGTTTGTCAACACACTGTCATAAGACTTGAATGGATTTGAAGGACTCTGTTAAATAAGCAACCTGTACAGGAGAGAATAATCTCCACACTCCCAACTGGTAGGTCTGTGGCGGGTGAGAATACCCTTCTGCGTATTGGAGTCCTTGTTGGAACGTATGAACAACAGTGTGATCTAGATAAACAGGCCTCAGACTGCCAGACTCTCACCCAAGGAATCCTGTTGAGCCTTGTGTTAGTTCTGACTGTTAAGTAAATAATCTGATTTGATGCTTCGGGCACAGATGATCTCTTATTAGCTGCAGTTAATTTTCTTGGAAAGTTAAAGCTCACTTTCCTTAGAGACAATGAACAATTCAGCGACTGAAACCTTTATAAAACACAAACTGGCTTTCCTCAGAAAATTTTAGAACCAGTACAATACAGTTAAAAATTAGGAACGTTGTCAAATACATAACACTCTTTGGAGTATGGGATTAATGTTCTGTTTGTCTGTGAAATATATATATATATTTAATTTAGTTGAATAAATTATTGATTAAGCTCTAGTTGTTATAATCCTGGGTCAATGAAGAATTTTATACTTATTAATAATCTTGACCTGCAGAAAATGTAAAGTCTATTTAGGTGATGGATAAGTTTGCAGGTGCAAATACACTTGGAAACATGAATCCCAGACCCTCCTGAAGCTTGCTGCCTCACTAGCACCCAGTGTTGTTGATGTGGTCATGATTATCTCAATAGGTTAGTAAATAAAAGAGCTATGGCCAATCCTCTCCATTTTGTTGAGCAGCATAAGACTCTAATATAGACTGGAATGTCATAAAAGAACTTCCTTATTTATGAAGGCAATAAAGTAGAAGAAAATGCATAGGTAACATAGATCCTTTTAATAAAACTAGAAAGAAAAGCAAGCACCCATGTTCCCTAAGTCCAAATATGAGTAGAGTAGTAGTCTTCTTTTAGAAGCATAACTAATAAATTTGTCCATTTTTGCTAAATCTGATGGTGGACAGCCTAGCAAGAAAAGAGGAAAAAGAACATATAAGTTTGCTGCATACTAAACTAAACTCCCAACAACAACAACAACAACAACAACAACAACAAATATTTTAAAAGAATATTACTGTTTGGTCACCATGAAAATTAAATTTCTATTAGACCAGAGTTTCTAAATTCCTATTAGACTAGGATTTCAAATGGAGAATTCCTTGGTTTGCTTGGTTAACAATCCTGCTGAGATGGAGTGGGAGAATCACCATTGTCTTCAGCGATGGAAGGTTCTTTGCTCTTCCCAGGAGCAAAGCATTCCTTGACACAGAGCCAAAGCAACGAGGAAAATAAAGTTGGTCCCATAATAACATTTAAACTGCAGGAAAGAAGCTCAACAAAAACAAGTTCTCCCCTGGTACTCCCAAACTTTGTTTTAATTTCCCACAGTGGCACAGAAAGTCTCCTGGCCACAAGTTACCTATCATCTTAATTTCTTCTTCTTAGAGGGTTTGTGTTCGGTTTTTTTGTCCTTAATGAGACATATTTGCCAAAGAGGCATTCAAAAGGCATTTTTTACTCTTGCGGAAGAGTAATTAGGTCGGTACCTCTTTCCCTGCCAGCATTAGCTGCTCCAAAGAGAACCCTGCCCAGTATTTAATGCCCAAACACAAGAAGCATCATTTCCACTAATTGGTCTTGAAGTTCCGACGTTCCCTTTATTTTGCAAGGATCAGAAAGGACACACGTAAAATGTGATAGTCGTCATCACTGACTTTTATCTCCCTCATCTGTGCTACTACAGTTGTCCTTTCCTGTGTTTTTGCAGTCAGCATGAACACAGCATCAACAAAGAAGGTGAATAAAGGACTTGCAGTTATACAAGAGGCCGCCTCTGGGCCAAGACCAAAACTTGCAAGAGACATGTTTATGAATATGAAAATGAGTGCAAACACAGAGCATATACAAATGTGATTCCTTGATGATGGTATTTGCCTTACTGACGGTGCCTGGTGCATAGTGGAAAGGATAATGCTACTTTAGCACATGGAATCTGAATGCAGGGCAAAGAGGAAAGAAAGAACCATTCATCAAGTGAAACTGGAAATAGAGCATATACTACTAACCTTTCTTTCCCTAGCCTGAGAAAGGTTTTTGGATAAAATATAATGAGAAAAGCAAGGAAAATGATAAAAACGGGGGATGGGTTGTGACAGAATAGTTACACATACTTCTTGCTATCCAAGGCCCTGGAAGTGGCTTTATTAACTATCAGGAAGTTTTAGATTCTTTGACATAATGACCAGGCTACATCAATGTCCTTAGAAACATGGCCAAACAATCATTAAGCAGAGACTTAACCATCTGCATTCAGACTGGCCAAATAAATCAGACTTGAAGAACAAGCTACCTACTCCTCTTTCCAAGCTCCGTTTGCTTTTTGGCAATTCTTTTTTTTTTTTTATTTGTACCTTGAAAATGTAGCTCAAAGCCCTATCATTTCCCAATGTTTTATCCAAGTGACAGACAAGCTCTGGCTCTGGCCTTCTTTTGGGACAATTTCTCTCTTAAAAGAACCATTTTCCCATTGTAGAAACTAGTGTTAAAAGGCTTGAGGTGAATGAAGAGCAGAAGGGGAATGTTAAAGAGACCCTTTCAAAACCAAAATTATATGTTCGAATGAGTATGTTTTTGGTGCCAGTACAGCATTAGCCGTGCAGAAACTAAACTGCTTGTCAGCATCTATACTGTGTGTTTACTTTTACACTTCATTTAGGTAAGAGCCAGGCTCCCAGACAGGGCAGTTTGCTTATGGGTTGAATATTTTGAGTCTTTGAGCCACCAGTACAGGGATACAGTGTCTAGATGCAATGACACTGACTGAGAAACTTAAATAAGAAATAGATGGTGTTTGCCTCAGGATATCTCACAAGTTTTGATAACCTCTTTGCAATCAAATGCCCGCACAGAACCCACATGACGTTTGAAAGCTCCCTTGCAATTTTAAATCTCTCTCAACATTTTAATGGACAGATGTCATTTTATTATTCCACCTTGTTCTTTTACTTCAATGTTGCTTCTTGACTAGGTAAAACACAAGGATCATCCTTTTATTCCAATTTATCCAAATATCTTACCGAATGTCTGACATTCAGCAGTAAGAAAGAGTCAGAATAATAAATGACAAGTCTTGTTCTATTACACGCGGACACATCCCTCATCCTGGAAAACGCTGTTCCTGAGGTGGCAACCTCCAAAGCTTGCAAGTCAAGATTATGAAATGCTGTGATGCCATCTCAGACAGGACCTCCTCCAGTGCCTCTAGAAATGCCCACACCCAAAGACAGTGGCACAGATGACAACAGCATTCAACAACATGATTCAACCTGTTTGAGAGGTTTCATGTGATCCTCAAATGCCCCAGTGACCCCTATGCTAACCATACTTGAGAACAGAAAAGAACCAGAATTCAGCGTTCTCAATGTTTCCACTCATTATGTAATCAGTCCAACTTGTCCCTGGAGATATGGTTTTTGGGGTTACTTATGCTCATTGCAGCTAGTGTATAAATCATTAAAAGCAAACATAATGCTATCAAAGCATGAACTTGGTCACCCATAAAGTTAGCAAGCAGAGACAAAGAAATACAGAAGAACATACAAACCATATGCTGTAAGGAAAAAACACATCATTCATCCTTTCCAATTTCCTGGCATGTGAATAAGAGACTATTACAACACAATGAAACACTACACATTAGTGAAAAGGTACATAATAAAAGTTATTGTAGGCACATCATGTGTCTCCTTTTCCATTTCTATTTCAATAAGTTGCTTAATGGGAAAACATCTCACTTAATACTGTGAGTACCATTACAGCTTTCATAGTTGATGTGAGAAATGACATTTATATATGACACATATGCATATCAGTAACATTCTCCCAAGAATTTCTCTTATAAGCAAAACTCAGTTGTCTTTCAAAAAAAGTAAAACTTTAATATACTGACACCAAACTTCTGGCATTTCTATGTCATCTGCTAAAATATAATAAATGCAGATGTAAATAAGGTAACTTCTTAATTAATAACACATGTGTACTTGTGTACTTCTCTTGCCTCTAAATTTCTTATCCTTCAAACAACACCTAAAAATTTCACATTCAATATACACGTTTGTGGGCATGGAACAATGATTTCAGGGTCTCCTCACTCACAACTCTCACTCGCCTTTCCATACATAAATGAGTTTTCATTATTAAGACTTTGAGCATCCATTCATTTTCTCATGAAGGAATTGACACTAAGAGTTCTTACAATTTACATATCTTCCGGATATTGAGTGCAGACCCTTTGCAGGTTGCTTTCGATAAGAAAGACGTGTATGATAATCAAATTTAACTCATTTACAATAGACATTTTTTCCTTGAACTTTGATTTTCAGTAGAACAACCCCACCATGGATTCTTCTTTTATTTTCCTGGTGCTTAGCTTTATTTTTCTAGTGTTTACTTACAGAGGACTCATCGCCTTCTCCTCTGTTATTCTGAGTTTCTGTCTGTTTCTGAGGTTCTGCCTGTTGAACACGTGCCACTTCATTAAACACCTGGCTTCACTATTCCTCTAAAGCCCCTCCTTTGGGGTCATTTGCAAGGTCGCCCACTATTGAGAGAGAAAACCAAGATCCTCTCCTTTCTCGGCAATATTTTGCTGAGCGAGTTTATTCTTGCTAACTCCAGGGGGCCTTCGGGAATCCTTTGGCATAGGGAAGTGGGTGCAAACTGACAGAGGACTGGTGACAAATTGTACTTCTTTGCTCTTAAGATCGCAGCTGAAACTGTTGTACCAGCACTCCAGCAGCAAAAAGGCTGAACACCAGAATTTTTAACTTAGAAACAATAATCGCCCACAGGTTTTTGGAGAGCAACTGGGCAGGGGGGCAACTTTCACAGGTAAGCCAGGCACTACTCCGGTGCTCAGGGCAGGAGACTGCAATGACATGCGGACCCATCAGCTCCTTTTCTAAGACAACTTGTTTTTACTTGGAGGAATAAAGTTAGTTTGGCTCCCCTGAGAAAGTCTGGATTCCTGAGAGCCAGGTCTCGATCTCTTTTGCAAACTGATACCTAGTAACTAATGACTCACAACCCTTGATCATGGTAGAGAAGGCTGCACCTCAGCCTCAATTTCATTTACTCTCATCTCTACCAAAAACAGAGGAAGTGGCTGCAGTGCCCAGGTACCTTTGCTGTGCCTGTTCCTTTGTCAGTTCTGTTTTAAGTAACACTCTCTTTTCAGAGAGAAAAAGGAAAATGCTACCTCAGTTGTCCTTCCTGGTGCATCTCACCTAGCTTCCCACCAAGCAAAACATCAAAATTCCAGTTTACAGTTGCAGAATACATATCCCCTTCTCCTACCTTTTCTGTATTTGCCTAGAGTTATTTTACAGGTACAAACCCTCTCCTCTAAAATCACAACAAGTTAGAGTAATAACTCTTATTTTAAAAAGCCTCCTGGTTAGGTCACACAGCATCACGATGGCTGGATACCTGTCACTCCTAAATCTAACCGGTGCAACAGGTATAGAAGTAGACGCAAAAGCTCCCTTGGATGAAATCACTAGGCAGGCCCCGAAGATGGCTCCAAGGGGTCTCGCCCCAAAGCCCCCCAAACCCCCAGGCCCCAGCCTGCAAGTCCCGCTCGGTTGCCCTGGGTGAAGCCCACCTGGGCACAGCTCACCTGTTTGTAGGCATCGAGCAGGAAGCTCTTCCAGACGCAGCGCAGTCCCTCTGAGGTCAGCATGCGCCGCCACTCTCCGCGAGTGGACTTGGAGCGGCTCAGCAGCAGAACCACGTGCTTGAGCAGAATGACCGAGTCATACAGCGCCAGGAAGAGGCAGTTGGAGAAAAAAACTGGCAGAATCTGCAGTGTGATCAGCAAGTCTATGCTGAGGATACCCATCTTCTCTGCCTCCAGAGTCGTCCTCTTGTGCGTTCTGGTTCCCCTTCACCCTCTTATTTAAAAGACGGGTGGTGATAGAGGGGGTGGGGGAGGTAAGGGGGAA